CCCAAAAAAAAAGAATCGCATCACCGGAGAAGAGAGTGAGAGATCAAATCAGAGAGAGGAAGACCTTGAGATTGATCGGCAGCATCTTCGGCGGGGAAAGGGTCGTTCGCTGGGACTTTGAGAGAAGCCATTTTCGTACACTTAGAAAAGAGATGAAATTTACAGTGTATTTGATGAATTTCTCCACACGCATTTCATAAGGTAACTGAATAATTTCAAAATTGATCTGATTGTCATGAGAGAGAGAGAGAGAGAGAGAGAGAGAGAGAGAGAGAGAGAGAGAGAGAGAGAGAGAGAGAGAGAGAGAGAGAGAGGGTATTTCAGTCATTCATGTTTTTTCCGTGAAGAAAGTCTGACTACATAGTACATACACGGTACAATGATTGCATGGTACAAGAACAGCATAGTTACCATAGTCTTCACTAGTTGGGCCTATTATAATTTGGTAATGGGCTTCGAGATCTGTCTGAAACGAATGAAATGAGGAAGAGGCAGGTAGGGTTTTTAACCCTAATAACCCACTTGGGTCGCAGCAATTTCAGGGTACACCACCGAAAAAAAAAAAAAATTTGCGACCTTATTACGACTAATATATAACTAATATACAATTAAAATAAGAGTAATAAGGTCGCAATTTTTTTTTTTTTTTCGGTGGTGTACACTGAAATTGCTGCGACCCAAGTGGGTTATTTGAGTAATATTCCCAGGCAGGTAGTCCACCATGTTTTTCATTTCATGGAAGAGCTATGACCAAAACTAACAAAAAAAAAAGCATATTTAGCAAATTAAAATGTAGAAATAAATAGTAATCTCTCCAAAATATAAGAACTATAATTATTAAAACATGGTCAGAGAACGACTCCACTGGGGATCGAACCCAGAATCTCTGGTTCCGTAGACCAGCGCCTTATCCATTGGGCCATGGAGTCGTTTTGTTCATTAATTTTAAATTAATGAATAAAAGTTTATATTGCTCCTTTTTTTTATAAAATTTTAAACTAACAGAATCAAAAGCTCTCAGGAATAGTCAACTCAGTTTCATGAATGGAGTCTACAAAACCCACAAGGAGAAACATAAAAGCTTCCATTCACACGTATGGAAGATGAATGTACAGTGTCCGGAAATTAGGATAAGTGTGTTTAACCCTTTGTTTCTCTTGTCCAGCTTCAGAGAAGTCTTTGGACTTTCCTCAAACAACGGCTCTACCCTTCTCTCTCGCTTCTCGTAGCTTCTACGGATGGGCATTAGCCCTTGACGGCTTTTTCGTCCTTGTAAGCTGCAACATGAACCCCCAGAGCCGCACGGCCTGATGGGTCGAGATTCTTTGACCATGCATCATCCCACTCCACTGCTTTCGCAGTACTGCAAGCTACACTCGGACCTCCCGGAACAGTTGCCCTTGCAGCATTCTGCTCGTAAAACCCCGAGAAAATCAGCAATGATCATAACAAATCAGAGCAGAGCTAAGATGATATAGATATTGTCTCCTCACTTGAATCTTGCGAGATTATATAGCAGCATCAGTGGATATGATCTCTTTTATATGGGGCTAGCTAAAGTTCGGATCTTTTAACTGACACTTGAGGTTTCTTTCGAAACATGCTTTAACTAAAGCAGAAGTTCTGAATCATATGGGCGTATACCTTAGGGAAGAACTTTTCGAAGATGGTTCTGTAGTAGTATGCTTCTTTTGTCTTGGGAGTGTTCTCGGGGTAGACAAAGCTCGCGTTCATCAGCATAGTGTCAGAGACCTTTACAAAATACAGTAACGATGTTGTGTGAGTTGAAGGAAACATGGATCACTGTCCGATTATTCGTTTTGGATTCTTCTATGAATTAGAAAAGACATCTTACGTGTTTGTTTGCGTGATCTTTCAGCCCATCAATCCAACTGTACCCGACTCCATCACTGAACTGTTCTTTCTGCCTGTAAAGAATGTGCTGCATTCACCAAGAAGAGGGGAGAGATTTTGTTAAAAAGCCCATGGCCATCTAATAAGGTAAAACTGTAAATCAGTGATGTTCATTATTCACGAGCACAGTAAATATGCATACATATTCAAAACACGAAAACTGCAATGGGAGTCACAAGCAGAATAATTTTTTCCATGAAATGCAGTTTAGTACAAAAACCTTTGGTAGGTAAGGACACTGCTCATCATCAAAGGCATTGCGTAGAACCCACTTCTCAATCCTTCCAATGTCAGGTCGGACCTGCAATGCATTTTAAACCATTATTTCATCGAAAATTAGCTTGGCCAGAACTTTTCATACACTTTCGATAACACATTTATGAACAATTCGTTTGGAAAAGATGCCCAAAATTCAGTTTTTGATTCTCAAACAGTAGTGGATAATTCCTAGATTCTTCTTCTTTTTCTTTTGTAGGAAGATGAAAACGAAGGCAAGAACAATCAGCGAATGAGATGGAAAATGTAGTAAAGGATGAGACCCACCATCTTCCAGTCCGGATCGATGCTCATAGCGACATTTATAAACTCTTTATCCAAGAACGGTACACGAGCCTCAACACCCCATGCTGAAGTTGCTTTGTTGGCCCTCAAGCAATCATATTGATGAAGAGCTTTAATCTGTCAATAAAAAGCATAAGACAAGAACAAGCAAATACTACAAAACTGGTAAGAAGAACAAAAACTGGTAAGAAGCAAGAAGTTCTGATCTCAAAAGGAAACACCTTTCGACATGTTTCCTCATGGAATTCCTTCTTGTTGGGTGCCTTGTGGAAGTACAAGTATCCTCCAAAAATTTCATCTGAACCTTCTCCAGAAATAACCATCTTTACACCTAAAGATTTGATTTTTCTCGACATGAGAAACATCGGGGTGCTGGCTCTTATAGTAGTCACATCATATGTCTCTATATGGTAAATAACTTCTTCAATAGCATCAATCCCTTCCTGGTTATATCATCAAATAAAAATCTTTTAAGCCCATCATAGATCTCTTCATTCTCGGTGCTTTCTAGCAAATGCAAAAAAGAAACTTACCTGAACTGTAAAGTGAAACTCGTGGTGGCGAGTTCCAAGATAATCGGCGACTTCTCTTCCAGCCTTCAGATCTGGGGATCCCTGAATAGAGAAAAAAAAAAAGTACTACAATCTCAAAGAGCACAGATTTCAAAGTGAAAACATCTCTCGATCAATTGGGTAAGCCAGCAAGACCTTCAAACCGATGCAAAATGTGTGTAACTGTGAACCCCATTGACGAGCTGCTTCAGATTTATCCAAGTGACGGGATGCCACCGAAGCAACAAGGGATGAGTCTAATCCTCCAGATAAAAGGACACCGAAAGGCACATCAGTCATCAATCTCTTTATAACAGCCTGCAAGCCACAGAAGAAATGCATAAATTTTACCCAAAAAAACAGCATTCATAATCGAAGAAAAGTTTTTTTCTTAAGCATAACAATGAAACTGAAAGAGAACGAGGAGAATGGTAATGGATCATATGATACCTTCTCGAAAGCATTGCGGAGCACTAATGGATCATATGGGGTTGAAGGAACATGCTCAGAGTACCATGGAGGGTTATACCACCTTCTAAGTCCTCCTACAAGAAAGCAAATTCAACAATGCTCACCTAATGAAACTTCACACCAACAAGCCACAAATTCATTAAGAAAAAGATAAAAACTCAGGGTGAATGATCTTTGCAAAATAACGTTAACTAAATTTCAGACTAAGTTGTCATAAATTGGTGTTTCACATAGAAACCAAACTTGATTTGATATTATGATTTCTTAAGCTTAAATTTGTGCAATTTATTATACGAACCTTGTTTACTCGAGTAGATGTGGCCTGGAGGGAAACACATAAACTGTTCACAATCATCGCTGAGTGCTTTCATCTCTGAAGCAAACCAGACAGAACCTATGGAAAAACGTTGCATACATGAGATTTCCAGAGAATATAGCTCCATAATTCCTCCGAAGCAAGTTTATAAGAACATGAAGCATACCATCAAGACCCCACCCAATGTAGAGTGGGGTGATACCAATGGCATCCCTAGCAGCGATAAAACTTTTGTCACGAGTATCAAGAAGGACGAATGAAAACATTCCATCTAACATGTCAACAAATTCCTCTCCATGTTCTTCGTACTGTGATATTAATGAAAAAACACATAAATCACACCAAAAAACCTAACAAAGTCCAACATAATAGACATCTTGATAAGAAAGGAAGGAATAATGAGAATTCACACAAAGGTCCAAGATTTTTATCAAACAAGCAAAGTTTGCAACACTTTAGTCTCTTCTCAATTCTTGATACTTACAAGATGAGCAATAACTTCACAGTCACTCCCTGTATGGAACTGGTGTGACTTTAGCTTTAACTGTTCACGCAAAACCTTGTGGTTGTATATTTCTCCATTTACCTGAAACCAGAGAATATAGATCCCACCATTACATCTCAGATGATAGTATTGAAATGCACACCCAGTTCTCTAAACAACCAGAGATTAAGACATAAGCGAGACTAAGACACAAGCCAAATACCGTGACAACAACAGTCTTGTCCTCGTTGTAGAGAGGTTGATCCCCAGAAGTCGGGTCAACAATGGCCAAACGCTCATGAGCAAGATAACAGTCTTCATAACAATGCAGTCCACTCCAATCAGGACCTCTGTGCCTCAATCTACCAAAGCCACCAACAAATGCTAAGTTCATTTCTCTACCACTTCAATTAATGAATGGATAAAAAAGGGTCATTTTCAACGGCATTTTCACCGGCTTCTCTCTGACAGGAATCGATATTGACTATTACATCGATTCGGGTCTATAAAGTTTTCATCTTTTCGCTCTGGGTAAAGATAAAGTTCCATCTTTAACTACAAAATCGAACCTTTTTCGACCAGACCAAGTAAAAGTCCTTCATCTAACAAGAATGCATTGACCCAGAAACAGTTCATACTCTTTCTTACCGGTTTACGAGAATCAAACCTCTCTCACAGTCTGTGATACGAATTCATCCGCAAAGCCAAGAGATTTACAAAAAAATGGAGGATTTGGGGTACCTGCGAGAGAGTTCGATGACACGAGAGCGTTTTGCTTGGGAGTTGTCGATGCAGCCAAGGACGGCGAGAATCCCACACATGGTGGCTACGAGTGAGAAAAATGGCTGATAAAGCAAGCAAGTGAACAATGAGAGGAGACCCAGATGAAGGATCGATTTATATAGTGGGGGGAAAAACGAGAATTTATTGTGGTGTTGAATCAAAGCCGTTGATTCTGACAAGCTTATATTCCAACCAGAAAATAAGGCCAAGATTCTGACTTTACCCTAATTTTCTAGTGTTTTGGTACGCATGGAACTATGGATCTTGAATTCTTTGGTAAAGATTCTATACGGCCAGTGGACGGCATCAATGTAGGCCCCATCCGTCGCTGCATAATTACTTGGCACTTTAATTTTTGTGATAATACATATCATACGACGTCGTTTTGGTTATAATTTCCCAAGCAGAGACGCTCCTGGTTTTTTCGGCGAACGAGCGGTGTGCGAACGGAGATCAGTTGAGCGAACGGAAATTTCCGGGCGTGCAGCGGCCGGAGATCATGGTAACGGCCGGTGAGGGAAAGATTCCGGCGAAGATGGGCGCCAGGGTTTTGTTCTATTCGATGTTGCTCACGCTTCAGTACGGAGCGCAGCCTCTGATCTCCAAACGCTTCATCAGGTACGATATCTGCCAAGAAGAGCTTCTGCATCTCCGTTTTCCGTTATCATGGTGTATATCGGCAATCGTTTCGCGCATTTATTTTTTGAATTACGCCTTTCGGGCATCTGGGGTTTGGAATTTTGTTTTACCAACGGCGAAACATGATCAAGAGTGCTGATGGGGCTTTACGGCTTGAAATTGAAGAAATTGTTGTGAGAATCGTGAAATAGGCTTGTAGTTGTTGATGTGAGAAGAAAGATCGCTGTGATTAAATCCACTATAGCTCCTAATCAGGTTTTACAGATTCATAGGGTTTCTGTTCTCTTTCTTGCTGAAGCAACTCAGCTCATCTATGAAATCTTTGCAGGAGAGACGTTATTGTTACTTCATCTGTTTTGACATGCGAGGTGGCAAAGGTATCTCACATTATGACCAGAAACTCGCTTCTTTCCTTCTGTGTCCGAAAATTTTCCGATACTTATTCACGTCCTTTTTTCAGGTAATTTGTGCTCTAATTCTCATGACAAGAGATGGTAGTCTGAAGCGGCTGTCAAAAGAGTGGACTTTGATGGGATCCTTGACTGCATCAGGACTACCTGCGGCTATATACGCACTGCAGAATAGTTTGCTGCAGATCTCATACCGGAATCTCGATTCCTTGACATTCTCGATATTGAATCAGACAAAAATATTTTTCACCGCCTTCTTTACATACATAATACTAAGGTATCTTTCTTCATTCTGCTCATGTAACATTGTTTATGTGCTACCGAGGTAGTCTTGAAAATCAACCTCTTCATTGTGTGGGGTTGTGTTAGTTATGTAAACAGAATGCTTGATGACATTTGTTCACTCAGGCTAATTTTGCTTGAAGGGTATGTGATCTATCTCTTATTCAGCATTATGGCATTGTTCTCCAATGGCATCTTGTAGGCAGAAGCAATCAATTCAGCAAATGGGAGCTCTGTGTTTATTGATCATGGCAGCCGTCCTTCTAAGCGTGGGGGAAGGCTCTAAAAAGGGTTCAAGTGGTGGTAACCCTGACCAAGTGTTATTTTACGGAATTGTCCCGGTCTTGGTAGCCTCTGTCCTCTCAGGCTTAGCCTCGTCCCTATGTCAATGGGCATCTCAGGTCAATCTAGAGTTCAGATTTCACATTGCATAAAAAATCATAGCAGGATTGCTTGGACTAACTACTCGTATCTTTTTGTCTCAACCTTACAGGTCAAGAAGCACTCGTCATACTTGATGACCGTGGAAATGTCCATTGTTGGAAGCCTATGCTTGTTAGCCAGCACCTTCAAATCTCCTGACGGGGAAGCAATTAAAGAGCTCGGTTTTTTCCATGGTTGGACCCCGTTGACCCTGGTAATGACATCTCCAACACTCTTATCCCTAGACAAAGGTTATGAAGCCCTTGCAGTAGTCCTTTGCGGAATGACACAGAGTAATTGCATAGAAGCTTATTATAATTGTTTGCATTCTTCCCCGTGGAAACCCAGATTCCAGTCATAAGCAATGCGCTCGGTGGAATTCTCGTTGGCCTTGTTACATCCCATGCAGGCGGCGTTAGAAAGGTAAAGAAAGCATCAACTTAATATATTCAACTGTCTTTCATTCCTCGGTGATGTATAACAAATACTTGCAATGTGGAAAGATAACAATATTCACACATTTGAGTTGAAATCCCTGTCTCTGTTGCATGCACTCAGGGTTTCGTAATCGTCTCGGCACTCCTCGTGACAGCGCTGCTTCAGTTTGCTTTCGAAGGGAAGCCACCTTCACCATATTGTCTGGTGGCTCTTCCCCTTGTGATCAGCAGCATCTCTCTGTACCAGAAGTATCCATACCAAGACAAGAAGAAGAAGAAGGTCTAACTCCTACCTCTTCTTCGGCTCTTAGGTGGGAGATTCACTGGGAAATCTCAGTGCCATTGCAATCAGATAATGGTTTTTGGAAAATTCTCAAGGTTAAGAGATGGTTAGTGAAATCTACTCAATTTCTAATATAGACAAGTCTTGGATATTAGTTTTGGCGATTAAGAATGTAGGAAAGAAAGAAAGTGATGCATCGTTTGCCATTTTGTTATGCTTTTTAACTGTAATCAGACATAACATGGCATGAGCCATTCAGGTCAACTATATATAGGATATATCTCCTACACAGTATTCAGATTTCCCTAAAACAAGATTCATACTGTTTTTGTGTTGGTGGCTATAGTCCTGTTCTGTACGGGAAATGCAATCAGCAATGGGTCTTTATGGGCTGTATACATCTTTAAGATGAAATTCCAATACGACCCGAGATGGGCCCAATTATCGGAAATGGGCCTACATTGTAGGATCCACAAAGCCCACTTTCTCTGGGCTCTGATATAATGGATCCATGACAATCTCGTGCCTCTCCCTTAGCGGTTCATTCTTTCCCGGCGAAGGATGTAGTCTGCCTGACGACCAATCCCCGGCGACAACCGCCAAAAGCGGAACACGAATTCGACGTTGTAACCCTATAGATCGAGTTTCAGCCATCCAATTTCTCCGGATAATGTGAGACAGACTATGGATTTGTATCCTGTGAAGATGACACCGGAGGAGGAAGCGGGGGTTTTGATGATGGCAAGAGTTATTTCGGGAAATTCCTTCTTCAGAGAAGCTAAAGAAGACGTTGTTTCAGGTACGATTTTGTGAAATCTATGATTACATATGTTACATGTAGCACTCGATTCTGGTGTTCAGTTCGTTCAACGAGTAATAGTGATTGAATTCAATTTGCTAGGACAACGACAAAATTCGCCTGAAACTGGTTCTCAGTCCCGTTGAGCTTCGTCTATGTCGGCCCTCCTCTGCCTCGTTGTTTAACTGGATCGATTTCTTTATCTTTTGCCAACGCAAAGCCCAGTTCATTGTACTCTTCTGTTTGTTCCCTAGCTTTTCGTACTCTCGTTGAAGCTCGGTATAGTCGTTCTGAAGCTCTGCCATCTTGTTCTTTACATTCTCCAGTTCTGCTCTAAGGGTCTTGATCTCGGTTTCTCTTGAACTCCGCTTTACCTCTCTTTCGGAGCTTTCCCCTCTTGTCTCCGGCTCCTTGCTCTGCATCGCCGTCCTCATTTTCACTTGTTCTGAGAAAAGCACCTGCATTTTTTTTGCATTCTTTTTTTGTGATGGGGACGTTCTGGTGTTGATCAGTTGCTTATAGTACCCTTAATCCGAGAAGGGTTTATGGAATAGGAAATGTCGGCTATGGCATACCTGGACAACAGTTCTCAGGGGCAACCGATCATTTTGTGCTGCGTGCATGCATGCGTCGAGGGATAGTTTCTCACAGTTCATTGTTTTGCACAGTCGTCTCCTATCATGCTCAGACAGTGAAGGATGAGTCTGAAACAGAGGCGAAATCATTAGTTTGCTTGCACAGAATATGTTGTTTTGTGGATGCAATCATGGGAAAAACCTATCTAGTACCTTGAGGTAGGTGTCAATTGCTCTATAGAGGCCGTCATGGCAGTTCCTGGCATTTCCCGGCAATGCTTCTGCTAAAACATGAAACTTGGTGATGGGAAGGTTTGGATCCTTTGCAATCTCAGCTAGGTAATTGTCCAAGAGCTTAGTTATGTTTGGTTTCCCTGTTATTTGCTGCTGCTGCTGCTCATGCATTAAGAAATACTCGAAAATCCTCTGTACCACATCCACATTGTGAATTGTGTATATCTCAGGTGAACTGTGCACAAACCAAAATTAGCATGGATTAGTTCAGTTCATTTACTCCTTGTCAAAATCAAATTCCTTAGTATTTAGGTAATGTCTTTTGGGTAAGAATTTTTTTTTATGGAATCAAACCAGAGTTTTCTCACCTGATTTCTTTCTCTTGATCTTCCTTTCTGAAGTTAGGAATCAGGAGGTCATTCACACTAGCTTCTTCCAATGTCATACCCACTCGTTTCTCAAGGTCAGATATTAAAGCTTGTGATGCAGAATACACAATTGCTCTTTTCAGCATCTTTAACAGAAATTGGCATGGTACAGCTTCAGATTGTGGAGGAAGTATGCTAACTAAGTTTTCTATGATTGCTTTTTGTTCCTTGCATCCATGACCACCTTCTTCCATCCGTTCTTTAAGAACACCAAACTGCAACTCATTCTTTCCAAATCCATAACCTCGTAGTCCTTCCAAGTCTTCGTCAATTACTGGCAACCAGTTGTCTGCATACTTCATGATGATTTTCCCAATTGTCTCTGGTTTGGCTTGTCTTGCTTTGATTGTTGTTATAACTCTCGTGAAGTGATCAATTCGTAGGGTGGCTATATCATTGTATAATCGCCTCTCATCGTTATCTATATCTTCTTGCACGTCATCTTTGGATGCTTTCCAGGCAAGCAAGTCACAACATCTTCGTACAATTTGGAGGTTTTCGGCCCATGGACATAAGTTCTCACAGGATTTCAAGACAGCGAGTGTATCTTTCCATGATGCGAGTATTACAAAAGTGATGAATGCATCTGTCTTGGAGATCAAGTTTCCGTCTTCATATTCTTCTGTCATGTCCAAAAACTCTGATGCACATCTTAGCTGTGCTGTGTTATGAGGGTTTAAGTCCAGTGGGAGGCCATAACAGAATCTCAGAATGCTCTCAAATGTTTCTGCCCCACCAGGGAAATTTTCCAGCTTGAGATTGTATCTATTCTCGGAAGCTGAAGGTTGTAGCACCAGACGGCTTATGTAACCACATTTGGATACCAAGGGATACTGCTTCAGCAGACAAACAAGTAAGTTAAACATTAATATCTTTACTATTTCATCTTCAGCTTGCAACAGTAAACCCGTGCCATGGCAATCTATCTATTTGAAAGTTGAAATTCTCACCCGTCCCAGATAAGCTCATAAAAAAAAAAACAAAGAAATGCACAGAAATCGGTAATCGGTTTCTGTTGTCTATCTATGCATTTTGGATTTAAATATGTTCCTACTAATCATTGCTATTACATGGCTTAATGTTTGCTGACAGGTTACCTTATGGACGTTGAAGGTAATATCATCGATCTGAATCAACAGGTCAGTAGGGATTTGAGAAGTGACACACCTGCAAAGATAAACCAAACAAAATCAGTTAGCCATTTGCTCTTGTTTCTGTGCATGTTAGATCAGAAATCATAGAGGTTAGCTTACCAGGAACGATCTTTCTTCTCGAAACCGTTAGCTAATGTAACAGCTCTATTTGGGACTATGATGCTCTTATTGCGGATTTCATCTGCAGAAGTGTCCAGATCATCTCTGGGACTCCTTGGCCGGTCTGCAGATTTGGATTTCATCCCCTCTGATCCACCAAAAGAAGCGAAGAAAAGAAAATGGGCACTCTTTGAAAACGATGATTCAACGAGTTGGGGAAGAATAATTTGGCAAGGACATGAGTATAAAGAGATCAGTGGGACAGAGCGGAGAGTAAATGCGAAAAGATAGCATGTGGTTCTCAAAGGACATGCCAGGAGGATGCAGTTATGTTTTGCATTTGGAGGTCATTTTCATGGAAGAAGACTTCTGTTTCATCAGTTGCCCATATACTACGAGCTCGAGCATTTGTCTGTTTGATCTTTCTGTTTTGTATTCTTCTAAAAGGGTTGTAAGTTCTCTCTCTCTCTCTCTCTCTCTCTCTCTCTCTCTCTCTCATGAAGTAATGAGATTGCCAAATGAAGTGAATGGCATCAGCATGTGGTTTGGGTACATGAGTTATGTCATCAATTGACGAGGAAACGGAAGTGGGTTTGGTCTTAAAAAAGCATTTCTCGGCAACAAATCATGTGCAAATGGTCAAGAGTTCTCCAAAGGAAGCTATTTGTAGAGCATGGGGCCTAAATTTAAATTATATGTTTGGTTTTAAAAAAAAACTTCTTGTTGTTAAATACTCTTGTAAAAAGATATTCATTATACGGATATATTCGATATAAAATTATCAAAGGAAATACGAAACACCTACTTGTCCAAAATACCTATATATTACTATAAAAATCCATTTGAAAAATCACAAGCAACTTTGTCAGAGAGTGGAGCCGAAATCGTGGTGGGCGGTTTCCCTGCGTTCCCCATATAAACGCGTCTTACTTGAAAACGTCGCCTTTTCTTCCATCTCTCTCTCTCTCTCTCACGCACAAAATCTGAATCTGATATCGGAATCAGAGGAAGCGCCGATTCAGATCTAAGATTCGGTTTCACGGAGAAAATCGTCGGACGAAAATGGCGACGGTGTCACCTTTGGCCAAGTACAAGCTGGTTTTCCTCGGCGATCAATCCGTTGGCAAAACTAGCATCATCACTCGTTTCATGTACGACAAATTCGACACCACTTACCAGGTTCACGCCCGCCCTTCTGAATTTTCCCTCACCTTTTGGTTTCCCTTTGCCAAATTCATGGCGATTTTGTATGTCTTTTACCGTTTGATCGAACAACGCTCCATCTTTTTTATGCGTCATTTGTGTTGATGTTTTCAACGGATGATTTGGATCGGATTCTGAATTTTGCCATCTTATAGTGTCGATTTTGATATTTTTTTTCGTAAATAATATGACTTTTCGATCTATTGTGAATCATGATCGCGTTTGACTTCTGTCTATGGTTGTGATTCTATCTGGATGAACTTGTCAAGCTGATGATTGTTGCTATTCTACTGAGAAATCGTAGCTAGAGTAAATTCGTAAAATTTTACGTCATCTTTTCTTGATACGCGTTTCTGAGGATTATCGATGGCTCGATGACCATCAGGGCAAACAAACAAAAAAATCCTTGACCAAATGTTGGAGGAAGCTCTGGTCTTTTCTATTTGATCCGATCCATTTGAAGCGCTGACCTTGTCCTCTCTGGCACTTTGTGCAGGCCACTATTGGAATTGATTTTTTGTCGAAAACAATGTACCTTGAAGATCGAACTGTTCGTCTGCAGCTCTGGTAATTCATCCTTCATGTTGTCACTCATATCTTCAGTTGTTACAAGTTATTGAGAAACTCATGTCCTGTTAATGATAAAGCCTGTGGAAGATGATGCTATTTCTTTTCAGAAATTTGCAGTTCTTGCTTAATGCATAATGGCTGAGAGTTCTCAGTTCCATATCCTACGAATACAGCTAGATCTATGGCAATTCCCATGTCGATTCATTGTCGTAGAAATACATTAGAGGTCTATGTAATTATCTTAGTGTTCTTTCTGTGGATGTCAGCTTCTTTAGTAAGGGTTGATTTGTACTGCAGGGATACTGCTGGGCAGGAGAGATTCCGAAGTCTAATCCCAAGTTACATCAGAGACTCTTCTGTTGCTGTAATTGTCTACGATGTGGCAAGTAAGGCTTAACTTAGTTAAGCTTTGACACCATGCAATATCTTTTGTCTATTGACACAGAATCATCATCAGTATTTGTCACACTTATTCTTTAGCCAATGGAACCACTGCAGATAAGCAATAGGATTTTAGATAGCGTACCTATGATTTGTGAAAGGTCTCATCTTTTCTTAACAATGCACAGATAGGCAATCATTTTTTAACACATCGAAATGGATTGAGGAAGTTCGGACAGAAAGAGGCAGCGATGTTATCATTGTTCTCGTGGGTAACAAAACTGATCTCGTTGATAAAAGGTAAGGTCAGTTGACCAACATCAAATCCAGATTGTCTTTCAAATTTCTTGAAATTCTGTAATTCGATCAGACCTGAAGAATTATATTACTCTCTGCAAAACCGTGGATGAACTCACATGATGAGCTTTGAAAATCATATTTTTGTTACCTTGATATATACCAACAGAAAATCTACACATGTCTCCTTCAGTGGGGGGTTACTCCTCCCATTCTAGTTATGTTTCTGTGACCAGTTTTAATATGTGTTGGATTGTGAAAAAGGCAAGTCTCTATAGAGGAGGGGGATAACAAAGCTCGTGAATTCGGAGTAATGTTCATAGAGACAAGTGCGAAGGCAGGATTCAACATCAAGGTGAGAAAAAAAAAGAACCACTCCATCACTTTTGCCTTAAGATTCCAGTAACTTCTCCAAATAAATTTCTTATTCTTGGTTGTTGTTTGGAAACCTGCAGCCTCTATTCCGCAAGATTGCAGGGGCGTTGCCAGGGATGGAGACCCTTTCCTCGACGAAACAGGAAGACATGGTCGACGTGAACTTAAAGCCATCGGCCAATTCATCTCAGGCGGAGCAACAAAGAGGAGGATGTGCTTGTTAATGGAAACACACTTTCTGAAAGAGGATAGGAAGAAGGATTTCCCATCTGATGGAATAAGTAAAATCGTATAAAAGGTTTGATTTTGAACTAAATCAAACATGAACTCTTGTTTCATTTCCAAATACCTTAGGGGGAGGATGGCTTTGATGTTCAGTGTAGGGTGAGCGTACTTGCGTTTGAAACCTCGTTGACACTTTTTGTCTTATGGAGTGTTTTAATCATTGTTTGTTTCAATGATGTCTCAGACTCGCATGCTTAGGGTTAGCGACCAATACCAAAGGTTTCTCTTTTGGATGGGTGGGTACTGGGTAGGTATCAGATTCTTTTTTAAACATAGGGCATCAGATTTCACATTATGAAAATCATTATTTTGGGCTTATACCTAACTCTTCCTCCATAATTGTTCTACTTTCACAAATTGGTGAAAAGGATTCTCAAACAAACCAACTATGGAGAACAGTATTTTGATTACAATTTACAATTTACACAAAAAAAAAACAGAGAGAGCAAAAGAAATGCTGCTTTGGGGGCACAAAGAAAGAGACTTTAGCATGAACTTGGAGAGAGAGAGAGAGGGAGAGCACAACCAAAGCGACCTAAAAGAACCTGAGACGAAAGCGATGTTAGGCTTGTAAGTGCGTAAGCGACGGCGGTTGCCGTTGGCGAAAATCTCAGAGCTGAAGAAAGAACAATAAGCGTCGCCGCGATCGCTTCATCAGCATTTATTCAGCCTCCATGCAAATCGCAGAACCCTAGAAAAAGTTCCATCTCTCTTCTCTTAACCCTCCTCTCTCTCTCTCTCTCTCTCTTTGTAAAAACCCAACAGCTGTTTCGATCAAATCTCATGTTGTTCTTGGTTCTGTTGAAGTCTCCAGCTTTCCTCAACCTCTCAAGCCTCCCAGAAAAACTCAGTTTTTGTTTCAAAGGTGTTGCGTTCACCAGCAATGCGCGGTCTCGATCGGTGGATTGCTGATTTGGTCAGATCAGAACCCTCGGATCACCCTTCTTACACACTCGGCGGGTTGTTCCTTTCCGAAACTACTCTTTCTTCGTCCGTCACCTTTGTCTCCTCAGGGAATTGTTCCGTCAATTCGTGTCGATTTGACCGAAAGTTGAAACTTTTGACGCTTCGGAGAGGAAATGGGACCAGGGGACCTCTGTTTCTGTCTGTGAATCTATCGATAAAGGAGAATGGCGATGAGGAAGAGGAAGGCGAAGGATATAATGGGGACTCGAGACAGAGAGAGGGGAAAAACGGGGATAAATCTTTTGAACAAGTGGCGGTGATCAGTGAGGAGAGGTCTAGGGTTAAGGAGAATGGATCAGGTGCTCTCAATACCACCAAGCATTTGTGGGCTGGAGCTGTTGCCGCCATGGTTTCAAGGTCTGGGTTTTCTTACATTTCGGTCAAGTTCGTAGGTTACTGTTCACGGTTTTCTGTCCTCACGTTCACGAGTCATTCACGCCTATATAATCGAATCTGGGCATCTTGGTTCTTGTGTTACTGAGTTTTCTGCTCAAAGATCTATGCTTGGTAGATGGAAGAAGTGGTTTGATATGCAAATTATGGAAATTTCTTTGGAAACATCGAAATTAGATGCTAAGTGTATTGTTGTGGAACTATTTGCTCTCGTATATGAGGTTCTTTTGGTTGATTGTTGTGTTTGGTGGCTCATCTGGTTTAAGCTTTTTGCTGTTTGAGCAGAACTTGTATTGCGCCTCTTGAGCGGATGAAGCTAGAATACATAGTCCGGGGAGAGCAACAGAATCTGGTTGGTCTCATCAAGAGAATTGCATCTACAGAAGGGATTCAAGGTTTCTGGAAGGGGAATTTGGTTAATATTCTCCGAACCGCTCCTTTTAAGGCCATCAACTTCTATGCATATGATACGTACAGAAGCCAGCTGTTGAAACTTTCCAGAAATGAAGAAACTACAAATTTTGAGAGATTTGTCGCGGGTGCAGCAGCCGGAGTGACTGCTAGTTTACTTTGTCTACCGCTTGATACGGTAAGTAGAATGAAATCCACTAACTTCACTGACCTTTACCCTTTAAGAATCCTCTTGCATTTTTCTGCATTTTCCCCGTCCTATCGGAGATTGAGCTTCTTCTTGTGCTGTTGTCGTGTAGTTTTAAGTGTGACATTAGCATTTTGATCGAAACATGGGCAAATAATTGAGTAGCTGAATTTGCATAGTGCTATGGAGGAAAGGATAGGACTAACTATGAGAAAGGAATCACCTTGATTTGAGTTTTGGAACAAGGTGATGTTAATAAGAGATTAAGAGGGCAAGCAAATCTTCTTTTCTTTTCATTTGAAGAATCCACTAACTTTTCTTCTTTGTTTTCCATCTGTTTTGAATGGCAGATAAGGACAGTGATGGTGGCACCTGGTGGTGAAGCATTAGGTGGATTAGTAGGGGCCTTCCGTCACATGATCCAAACAGAAGGATTCTTCTCTCTTTATAAGGGACTTGTACCTTCACTTGTTAGTATGGCTCCGTCTGGTGCAGTGTTCTATGGCGTCTATGATATTCTGAAGACGGCCTACCTTCATTCCCCGGAAGGTAAGAAAAGAATCGAGCACATGAAACAAGAGGGAGAAGAATTGAACCCTTTTGAACAACTCGAACTCGGTCCCATGAGGACACTTCTGTATGGAGCAATAGCTGGGGCTTGCTCTGAAGCAGCCACTTACCCTTTTGAGGTTGTAAGAAGGCATCTTCAAATGCAGCCTCATTCAAGGAAGTTAAGTGCTGTGGCAACTTGCATGAAGATTATCGAGCAAGGTGGAGTTCCTGCCCTTTATACCGGGTTGATTCCAAGCTTGTTGCAGGTAATAAACTCAAGATTACTGTCATGAAACATGATCTGATTCTGCAATTACTATGACATCTTCCTGACTTGGTAAATGTGTAAATGTGCAGGTTTTGCCATCGGCTGCCATCAGTTACTTCGTGTACGAATTCATGAAAGTTGTTCTGAAAGTAGAAACAGCAACGGCATAAGATAGATGCTCCTCCCCCGTTTACAAATCAGTCGAAACTTCATCCTGCATTGAAAGGACTTGCTTTTTTTTCCATAGAGAAGATTTTCAAGCGTTTCTTCGCCTTTTTTTTTATGATGATGATGATGATGATGATGGCGTTTTCATGTTGACATCATATACGTATCATATTAACATCATCAAGATCTGCATGGCGAATTCACGCATGGAAACCTTCCTACATTCAAAACAGAGATTCAACTAACAATGGTATCAGGGACTAGTTAAGGAAAAACAAACAAAGCTCAAAGTTTCTAACATTTGAGGAGATTGTCGTATTCTTATTACAGAATCACAGTTGCTCCAAAGTGGGAAGACGATATGATATGTCCTAATATGGTTTCATCATCATCTCTTACTGCAGCCATCCATATTGCTGGTTTCTACCGCCACCCGCCCATAGAGTTCTGACCTCTTCCTGAACCAGAGGACCCTCCGTACTGTCCCCCTTGCTGATAGTTGGGGGGCGGTCCCACATACCCACCGCTAGGCCCTCTGGGTCCTGGTCCTGATCCTGCACCATATGGAGCCCCTCGCCCTTGTGGAGGGTACGATCCGCTGCTGTAACCCCCACGGTTCTGATTATAAACCCCGCCTTGGCTTCCACTAGGCGGGTAACGGTTTGGACCGGGTGGACCACGTGGCTTTCCATAGTAGTGGTGGCTTGGCCCTCCTCCGGCTATTACTTGTGGAATAGGATGGTTAGGACCACCCGGCCAGTGTTGAGGCTGCTGGTGAGATTGGCCGCCACCACCGTGTTGCATAGGCGGCAACCTATGCTGCTGCTGCTGTGGATGCTGCAATTTCTGCCTTTTTGCCGCTTCCTCGTTTTGGCGCTGCTGCTGCCGTTTTTTCTTCGTCTGGAACTCGTGGGATGATTCATATGCGGGTAGACTGTTTTACAAATGTATATTCTGGTCAGACAAGTTTTCCAATACGTAAAATACTCAGTACAATAAGTCAGGGTTTCAGATGGATTGAAGAACTTGTTCTTGCCATTGTTTACCTTTTTGGATCACATGGAAGTGGATCGGTCCAAAAGTACTCGGCATCAAGAGCATCTTTTGCTGATATTCTCTATACCACGAAAAAAAAAAAAGATAAGACAAATGATCGAAATGTCAAGAACAGAGTCTCGCGGAAACAATCATCATCCTGAATCGGACATTTTCAGATCATAGTTTGCTGTTCATTGACAAACGGACCAAATTACTTCAGCTGAGCCCTGATACCTGAGATGCATCAAGCACCAACATTTTCTCCAATAGCTCAAGGGCATGTCGATCAAAGCTGTAAACAAAAGATTAAAAAAAAAAAAAAAAGAAGCTCATAATGAGACCTTGTGTAGATCATAAGGTCAGGAATCAAGAAATGTTTTTTTTTTGTTTGCTTACTGTCTGAAAACCTCCCTTACACGGCGTTTCAAGGGCCGTGCTGGTTTAAAATTGTTATACCACGGCATCTTGGAAACCCCAGGCCAAATATTCTCATCAGGTGATCCACATAGCTCAAAAATCTTGTTTAGTTGTTCATGCTGAAACCAAAGTAATAGTAATACATATCACTCTTTGAGATTGGAAAGCATCACATCATATTTGATCCAAAACAATTATAAACGAACTAAGACTGTTCTCCACGACATTCTGAATCCAAAACAATCCATTCATATACCATGCACATGACGAACCAAGACGAAAATCCTGACCTCATTTTTCCCAGGCAAGATGGGTTTCCCATGCAGAAGTTCGGCAAAGATGCAACCTACTGACCACATGTCAATGGCCGGGCCATACTTAGTAGCACCAAGCAGCAATTCAGGGGGTCTGCAACAAAATAAATTTTACATCATCCAAGCAAAACATAACTCATACCTTGGCAGAAGAAATCAAGGCTTATCTCCCGAACCCATCATGTAACTTTTAAATCATATAGTTGAAACCATACCTATACCACAAAGTGATGACACGGTTTGTAAGGTTTCCAGTATGATCATGAGAAAATGATCGTGCAAGCCCAAAATCAGCAAGTTTTAAATTTCCCTCATTGTCAATAAGAAGGTTTGAACCTGCAGTGAGATTTAGGTCATCAGAAAGCAGAGTCGGAGATAAAATCTCAATTATTAATCTGAGAATGCCACCTTTAATATCACGGTGAAGAACTTGATTGACGTGACAATAATGAAGCCCAGTGAGCAGTTGCTTCATGTAACACTTTTAAAGAGGCTGAATGTCAGACTGAATCGAACAATATGTATGCACTTATTCTCTGCATAACATTCTCCCAAACCATTGAAATACCTTGATCTGAGGAACTGTAAATCTCAGTCCAGGACGATCAGCAAGTCCGGTCAAATCATGATCCATGTACTCAAAAACCATGTAAATCCCACCTTTGTATTTGTTGTTATCTACATTTTACCAGACAACAAAGTCACTAACATTAAGAAAGCATAGATACCCTTGAGAATATCCATGGTTCACTGCTCCTATAGGTTTATAAAGAACCAAAAAAACAAAAATTACTGAAATGATAAAGGCCTGAAGAAATCAACTAACCTGGCTTCCCTTGCTCATCTCTGTCCCGACCTTTTAAGGTAAACAATCCGTCAAGAAAAGAGCAGCAAATACAACACCTCGTTAAGGAAATTTCTATATTGGCTTCACCAAAGAGAAGTGTTGTTCATACCTGGGGAAGTCACAATCTCTTTCAGCTTGATGACATTTTCATGATGAAGCTTCTTAAGAATTTTTATCTCCCGGATAGCTGTTATAGGAAACTGCACGCCAATTGCAATAAGGGCTCAGCAATCACAAGTTGTCAAACCTCACAAAACATATGGTTGATCAATTGGCGGTTTAAAAGGAAAGGAAGAAACATACATACCCCTTCTCTTTCATTGTCCATACGGATCTTTTTCAGAGCCACGATTTCTCCGGTTTTGATTTCTCTGGCCATGTACACTTGACTGCAAGAATAAACAGGTAAACCAAATGACTTAAACGCCAACTACCATACTTCAGAAAAAGTTTTAAACTTGACTTGAAATCAGGAGAAGAAGGAAATCATGCTCCAACCATAACTTACACAACAACGGGATTATACACCGAACCATACGCCGGCTATACGGAATCCGATTTCTAGTAGTTCCATGTAAACCATTCTATCAAGCCTTGAAATTCTAAGAATCTCAATTCGCTGAACCAACAAGCTGTATAAATCATCACTACCCAGATCATTGAACAATCAAAATTTCGAAAATCTATGCTCTAATGCACCTAAAACAAACAAACAGAACGGAAATCTCTTGACGAAAATCCACGAAACAACAGTATTAGGCTTTCTGACAGAAGGAGCGAGGCAGAAATTAATACCGACGAAACCAAGTCACTTCGAAGAAAGGGAGGAAAACCCGGAAAATAAGAAAAGAGGCGAGAATTGAGATTGAGACCCGTAAGTTCCTTCACCAATCTGCTCGAGTTTCTCGAAGCAATCGACACTGCGAGATCCCCAAACCGGTGGAGGCTCCTCCAGATTCAACTGCCCGAAAGCCGCCACCGTCATCTTCGGCTCTTCCCCTACTGAATTTTCCCCTTAGCTTCCTATCGCAGAAATTCTCAGACGACGTAAAGCTTCGTCTTTTATCACTCGCCTCCGTTCACTCCACGGGGTTCTAACGTTTTTTTTTTTTTAGCTTCTCGGCGTCGGTTAAGCCGAAACCCAAAAATCTAAGGACTAAACCGGTTTAAACCGGTTATCTAATTAATGTACTTTAATACTATTTTCTTGGAGCTTAATTAATCTTGAATGACCTTATAGATTGATTTTTATTAATTAACAATTTCCATCGTATAAGTTATCTTCTAGGTAAAGTTTTTCCATTTTAAACATATTCCATTCCATACTTCTCAAATCGTCACTGCAAAACACAAATTCCGACTCTCTAAAACCTACATTTGTTTACATATACATACATATATATATATATATGTATATATATATATGTATATAAACCAGCATAATTAAGAAAATGTTTGCTTGCCTCGCAAGAAAATAGGGGCTTATAAATAATTTTTTTTACACATTTATTGGGTCTTCAAACCAGTTGGATCCATTTGGATTGATTGGAGAGCGGAGAGTCGCGCAGTGTTTGCTTGCCTCGCACGCCATTCTCCTGCAAGTTAAGCCGTACATCCGATGTAGAAGATGGGAAGATGTGAAGGACTTGGGAATTTCCAGCGGAAACCCTAGATCGGGTCTCAACACGCCGAGTCCCGACTCGGATTACAACGAGATGGAGCGAGTTCAAGGAGACCGGGGTTTTAAGAAATCAACAACTGTTTCCCTCTAGAATCGCGATTCGTGATCGATTTCATTCTCTGGGACATTGGACGAGGAACATGTTTTTCGTTCGGAAGGGGTTCAACGTGCTGTCAGTTCAGAGCCAAGACGAATTCGTCGGGAGGATTTTTCCGGAGGTACTTTTTCAGGAGATTCCGTGATTAGGTAAATGATCTCTCTACATTTGCGTTTTGAGCTTCAATTTCATGGAAGAATGTCTCTTGTGCATTGTTGATAAAAAAAAATTTTATGAAATCTGAGAGATGATTCAGAGAGCATGTTTTGTAACCCTAATCCTAATGATTGCACAAAGTATTTTTTTTTTTGTTAAATACACAAAATTTTGATTCATACTAAGTGCCTTTGGGGCAGCATTTTTCATCCTTTGAATAGAAATTGACGTTAGAATCTGGCTCTTTTGATGCAAGTGTCAGTAGAGGTCAACATACTAACGAGGAAGAAGAACAGTAAAATCCTAGAGGATGTGCTCTGTTTCATGAACTGTGTCATGTGCTTTATATTGTATTATGTTTTCAAAGGATGAAAGTCATCGGGTAGTTGTTGATGTATTCACTGTGTGGTGTTGAAATCCTCTTTGAAAATTTTTTTGACCAAAAAAAAAAAGAAATCCTCTTTGAAAATTTGATCATAGAACTGATGATTAAACAATCCTTAAAAGCTTTGATCGTGCTCGTTTAACGTTTTGGGTATAAACTGTGATCTTGTCCTCTGTAGTGCTGAATAGAACCTTCCACTCAGCCATGAGTTTTAGCAAATTATTATATTTAGTCTTCATCAGCCCCACCTTCTATGCACCATCTTGTCCTGCAGATTCGATCCATTTTACTAGGAATCTAGAGATCTGGGATATCGGCCTACTTATTTTCAAGCTTATTGAGATATCCCTATTCATAGCTACTCTTGTGGATGACTATTGACTACATGGTGGAGTTGTTCTACCATATCCTAATATTCTGGCAGTTTAGTTGTGTGAAATTCATGGGTGTTTAAATCTAATCAATCAATCAACTATGTGAGACTAAAATGCCACACACATATAACTATCTCACAATCAGAAAGAGAAATGATGTGTAAGGGAACTCATCTTTAGGTATACATCTGCCATAAGAAACTTTCCTTGACATGTTTCGAGCTATAAGGTTTTGCTACTGTTGTTTTCACGGTTTCATTCAGGTATCTGTGCCTTCTGGGTAGCCATCAAACCTTGATGAAGTATGACTGTTTAATGGGTTTCTTCATGTGAACTGCTGCTTGTTAGTTTGTTCTGTGGATTTACATTTTCCTGGTGCTGTGCAAAGGGATCTTTACAGGTTTGTCATTGGCATTTTGATGGAATAACTAAATTTTCAACAATGATCTGGTCAGTGATGATTCACCTAATACAGTTTATCCAAGGGTTAAGTCAAAGATATTTTGGAAGTTTTATATATGTCCATAATATTTTATAGGAAACATTGTCAAAATAGTAGATCTTTATTGCTTTCGTTAGAATTGTCAGAAAGTTGAGTTGGCAGCTCTACTCAAAGTGCAGTTCACACCATCAATTAGCTTTCACATTTCATGCTTTGATGCTTACTCCACAATCCTGCATCAGGAATTGACCAGATATAAGCTTTACACCTGAACATCAGTTCGTTCTATATCTGTATATATTCTCGGAAGATTCCTCTGCGTATCTTTTTTAGTTTCACAAATATGATAGGGACCAATGTTGCCGCACTGTGAGATAGGTCGGTGTTCTTAATTTTAAGCGCTTCCCTGCACAGAATAAGTACGAGAGGCAAAGGACAAGGAGCAGATCTAAAGGCGATTTATGAGGTTCGCTCATGGATAGCTTTACTTTCTTTATTGAATTTGAAACTCGTTCTGAAGACCTGTCTTACCAACTCCAACCATGTGTTTTTGAGTTTTGCACAGTTTTTTAAGATGCTTTTGGCAAGATTATTATATTTTTGTATCCCATTTTACGTATAAATTCATGCAGAGATCTTCGTACATCTTGATCAGGCCATGTGACTTGCTTTTCATGCAAAAGCTTCCTCAGGCTTTTTGTTTTGAAATTTATATACTTTCATGGAAAGACCAAACCCTTTTGCCCCATCGCTTTTAATTATTACCTACTTGATAGTAACAGTGTTACTTTTGCATTAGAGTTTCTTTTGGAGGGAAGCATCGAAAGAGAAGAGAAGCCACTTCTTCGTTAATTTCTGAGGTAAGTGGACATTTTCCTCCTTTTTCCCGGTTTAGTGGCCATTATTACTACATTCTATGCTAGCTTCCATGATGAAAATCTGAGTGTTCCAAGCACAAACAATCTAACATGGAAGTCTATAATCTCAAGCTTGCTTTCCTTTCAAACTTTCCTTGAGAACTTTCTGAGTCTTGAGCTAACTATCTAACATAAAATTCGAGGAATGATTATAATCTCAAGCACTTTGTAGATGAAAGTGATAACCAAGAACATGATTAGTAAAGATGCACTAAATCCTATATGTCCTTTTTTCCATTTTGATTTATGTCAAAGCCGACATCAGTTATATTTCCTTTTCTCATTATGAGACTATGTTACCATCAACATTAACATCTGTTTTGCTTGTAAGAATGTGTTAGGTGTAGCTTCTATAGGTTGATTTAGAGAATCCATTATGAGGAGTGGTTGGTTTTATTATCAGTATTAGTTTAATTGTTACTCGCCAAATTGATGATTTAGCAATATATATATATTTGCGTGTGTGTGAGAGAGAGAAAGAGAGATATATTAATGATAATTATATTAGGTATTTGCTCTGTTTTATGGTGTCTAATTAGACTCTTTAAATTAAGTTTTTGAGTTGTTGCTAGCTATTGTATCCTGCGCTCTGGCTTCACTGGACTTTATAAAAGTGGAGTTCACTTTTGGGCTTCGTCGTATTGGGTCTAAGGAATCTTTGTCTGCATATATAAAATGCTGAAAGCTCACCCTTCTAAGTAGGCTTTTCTTTTAGCATCATTCTTGATTTCTGAGTTCACCCTGCTTGATATAACCTAGGGAGCATAGGATTTGGCACCACAGAGAAAATAAAAATTACATGACCGGGAAGGGATACAAGTAATCTTTATGATATCCTCAAGGAAAATTCTTCTTGAAAATCCCATGGCATTCTTATAATGTGAAGTTGGGGTTTGAAACGTCCGAGAAATAACAATATTTATATTTTACCATAAAAATATGTCTATTTGATAATAGCAATGTGCATTCTACTAAATAATATATGCCACTATTGCTATCTAAAATGATCTATGAGGAGCTCGATCTGATGGCATAATGCCATTATCAGTCTCCTCATCTTTCGTTGTCTTTAGCTGTAAATTGATGTCATCAACAATAGAAGTTCATCCACCCAAATGTCACGTAGCGGTTGCTGGTCCAAAAATAATGTTTGAACATCTCCCAGTTTGGTTCATAAAATATTTGGGATTCAATTCTTATATGGAATTGTAATCATTCTTTTCTTCGTGTTATTCGTTTAGCTTATTATTATGATGATGATGGTCATGAGGTTTCTTGTGATGATGTACGTTGTAGTAGATGCTCCTGGAATGTTGGGCATAGCGGTTGGGAAAAGCATATGCTAGTTTAGTATTGTAAATTAAGAGTAAGGACGAAGATTTCAGACAGCGAGTCCCTGTCTTTGTGTCCTTTGGATTTAAATAACATTTTGAGTTCGTATGTAATCTGTATAAAAAAGGGTATCCGTGTTTGTGCGTTGTTCTTAGACCAATACCGCACAAATTCAAACCTTTAAATACGTAACCGTCATTGTATATATATTACTACAGATTTGATGAAATTAGCAGAAGATTTCCTGACCCCACATACCGACTTTGCTTTCTAACCAGGTTTCTTTCTACCATATGAATAGTTGAAAAAGGGGATGAAGTTGTTATACGTACACATATATAAGTATGTATATATATAGGTGTATAATTATCTCTGTATGTAGTTGTGTGTGTGTATATTTTATATTATATGTATTCTTCTGTGTTTTTGCAGCGTTTGTTTCAGAATCCCTTACTGGCGCTGATAAATTCTATTCACGTACGAGCTGCTGTTGTTTGTGGGTTATTTTGTGGAAAACATCAAAAGGTTAGTATTGCTGCACATAAGCTTCTGGCATCTTGACAATAATTTCCCGCATATGATTTCATGAAACTATGGATTTGGCGTAGAGACACTCACTGCATATACTAAAATACGGAGTCCGTGTTATTCGTACGTAGATGATGCAGAATATTCCTGTGGATGAGCTTAATGATACTTTTCACATTTACATGCAAAAGAAATGTGTGAAAGAATTGCTTTCACACATGTCATGGAAGGTGTAGGAAAAGTCCGAGCTTAGATGTTTTGGTTAGAAACTTGAGAGAGGAAGCAAATCAGTTGTTTAGCTGACAATTACATCCAAGTTGTTTTATATTAGACAAAAATGAACAGCTTTAAGTGACATCACATGTCTCATAATTAATTCTTTATATTAGTAATTAAGAACCTAGTGCCTTATTAATTATTTTACTGCACCTTCTCAGACCATGGTCCACACTATTAAGAACCCTAGTTAGACAAGCAACTGGAAATGTTTCATTGCTTCTTGTCGGTTTTAATCGATCTTCCGAATCAAAAGACTTTACAGCCATGATGGAAGCATCTTTTCATCTTGAGTGTGAGTCTTTTTCTGTGACATTCAGTAACCTTGAGAGTGATTGAAATAGGATGAAAATGGCCTTACCATTATACCTTGTAATTAAATATGAACATCTTGGATTATGATCTCTGTGGTCTGTGTATGCAAATCTTTCTTGTGTCTCGTCCATCACTAAATGATGGGTTATCATTATTACATGGCATACAATACACATGAAGATTTTCTTCTGAAGTTATTTCAACATTAATTGCTCATGTCAAGGCGCTCGTCGATAGTATCTTGATACATGCATTGTTAGTGGAAGTCTGTACAATAGCTGTTTGGGACATCGTATTTCACTTTCTTCTATTGCTACTACAGTACATTCACCAAAATAACTTCTAGAAAGTTACAAACTCAATGGTCTCATATGGTGAAAATCTTTTCTTTGTACATGTCTGCATATATCGTATAAATTTGTTTCTTGAGTTTATGTTTTTGCACGAAACTTATGATATGCTTGGGTAGAAGACACAGAAGAAAAAGACAAGTGCTCAACGAGTGTGATTGGTGCAATCTTTGGAGCTGTGGGAAAGAAAGTCTTGCAGGTTTCAAAGATGGTGGAGATTTAGATAATTTTCTGCACCAACCTCTCCCCTAATCACAGCTCCTTCCGGTGGTCAAAGTGTGTCACATCCTGCAGAGTCACCATCTGCAACAGTAAGCTTTCTTCTGATAATACCAAAGCTTGCAGTTGTTATTTTGTCTTCCATATTTGTCTGTCTAGTGTTGCTCTCTATGCATTTCAGGAACCTTTATTCGCATTGAAGAGTCTATATGTATTTGATCCTTTTGGTTTTGGAAACAATGTTCCTGTATTCCAACATCAGTTATATGCTTGCCTCTTTGCTACTAGCATTGGAAATTAATGTCAAATATAATCGTTGTCATATATAGTGGCTCACGTTTGATGAGTAAAAGTTTTTACTGTGATCAATATAAAAATGGATTGCGGATGGCAACAATGACTCTTGTTTGATGGATAATTTCATACTTTGATACATTGCTTTACAGTGATTCTTCTTGTCATCATTTGGAGTGAAATCTATGCTATTTGGAGATGGCTCATAATGATACAAAAGGTATACACAACATCACTTGGTAAGTAATTCAAGATCTAGGGTTCTTAGTATGCATTTTCTGTTGCAGGTTTCTTCATTTAGTATCTTTTCTTCCTAGAAAAAGCATTTAGGGGGTTAGAAATCTCTGTTAGTATTACCTAATTTTTCTATATCAAGACTTTCTCTGGAAATCCCTTGAACAAGAAATGCATTTTCATATAATGACGTTATACTATCAGACCGACCTTACTCTTCATGTTTCATTATTAATTGCTTTCCAGTATACATCCAAGAATCTCAGGGCTTATAGATTACTTTCAATTTCCAGAAAAGAGAGCTCCTAATTAGGGTTCATGATTTGAGCTTTTTTTGGTTGGTTGGTTGGTTCAACTTGGTTGTAGCTTCAATAGATATGAAAAAATACACACCATAATTTAATGTAGCTATTCATATATGATACCAAATACATTAAACGAGCCATGCAAAGGGTGACGCAAGGAAAGCCCTTTTGCGTGTGAGGGAAGAAGTCTCTGGGACCACCCTTTGTCGTGCCATCTGTTATTGGCGCTGACTTCTATTTTGATCCTTTTTCTTTTTGCCATTCACCCGTTTATTAAAATATGATTATTTCACAGTAACATTTTCTTGTGAAATTTCGTACACTGTCCTTGTTCTTCTCCACACCATGTTTTCCATTGCAGGATCTGAGTTCCCACCTTCCCGGATATGCGAATCTGCACATAACACAAAGGAACATTAATCTGAGCCAAAAAAATGATATACTGTTGCACACGATTCCTCATTTTCGTTTGGTTTCCTGCTAGTCTGGACCTTTGGCTTGCTTGGATCTTCAGATGCATGCAACCTGAGTAGGACATGAATGATCGATCATACGATCACCTCATAAGAAAGAGAATAGTCCCTTTTTTTTGGGCAAAATCTGAGTACTATTCAGGATCATGAAATATCAGGAAAACCTATAATATTGTGATGAAGATATGCTTGCTGGTAGTTATTCTTTTGTTATTGTTCATTGACCCAGGAGTATATGTACAAAGGATTTCAATATCTTGGCTTGACAAGGCATAGTGATGGATTCTGATGATTGCCTTCCTGTGTAAATCAGAGATCAGTGAGCTCTGGTGATCCAAGACAGACAAGTTCCAGACGATGACAAGCGGGAAAAGAAGAAGGACAAATACATGGAAGAATTTGTCAAGGAGCAGAAAAAGTTACATAGAGAATAAAGAAAGCGTGGGAGAGAAAGAATAAAGGAAAGGGAAGGATACGAAATGGAATTGAAGGGTGAAAGCGACATGCATGGATTGTTTTAGGTAGACGAATCAGAAGGAAGCATGTGGTGAATAGAAACGAAGCTTTGGTTTAATATAAATAGAAATAAGAAGCAGTTAGTGGTTGCAGTGGAGGGAGGCAAGCGACCAAATCTTGGAGAAATAAGAGAAAAGAGACCGTTGTTAGATACAGAAGAGAAAGAAGACATGGGAAGATCTCCTTGCTGCGATGACACTGGTCTGAAGAAAGGGCCTTGGACCCCTGAGGAAGACGAGAAACTCATCAAATACATCCAGAAACATGGCCTCAGCAGCTGGAGAGCTCTTCCAAAGCTCGCAGGTACACCTTTTAGTGAGCCTTAAATTTGAAGAACCGAAGCTTTGTCTCTGATGAATCTCTCTCTATCTCTCTCTCTGCAGGTCTTAACCGGTGCGGGAAGAGCTGCAGGCTTCGATGGACAAATTACTTGAGGCCTGACATCAAACGAGGCAAGTTTTCTCCTGAAGAGGAACAGACTATCCTGAACCTTCACGCAGTTCTTGGCAACAAGTAACCACTAAATCTCCCGAGTCTTTCTTTTATTGTTTTTCATGATGTTAAAGAATATGGTTATCGTATTTCTGTATCTTTAACACTGTTATATTTTTTTGTGATGAATATGCAAGGTGGTCAACCATCGCAAGCCACATACCAGGGAGAACAGACAATGAGATCAAAAATTTCTGGAACACCCATTTGAAGAAAAAGCTGATTCAGATGGGATTCGACCCGATGACTCATAGACCTAGAACCGATATCTTCACAAGCTTGTCTCAGCTCATGTCTCTGGCTAACATGACAGGATTTGCTGATCCACAACTGCAGTATCCAATGGAACTTATACCGAAACTCCAAACCGAGTTGGCCAAGCTCCAGTTCTTCCAGTACCTTGTTCAACCACCTTCCATGAATAACATTAACCCTAATGACCTAGACATTCTTAGTCTCCTCAGCTCGGTTACTTCCATCAAAGAAAACTCCGCCATCACTAACCTGGATCTTGGCTTGCTCAGTTCCTATCTTCAGGACATCAACAATCTGCCATCCCTAAGAACCCTAGACATCATCAATCCTGAACCATCACCCAATCACATGAAGCTCTTCAGCCAGAGAGAGAGCTTACCCATTTCTCCAATATGGCTCCATGACCCTTCGAACTTATCTCAGACTCCATTGCCAACTCTTGATCCTTCTCATGTGGCGGAGGATCTTGTCAGAAACCCCTTTGTCATGGAAGATGTCGGAAGCAATATCACTGTCTCGACCTGTCAAGACTCGGCTCTTGCTGCCTCCACAGCCTGGCCTGACCATCTCTTGGATGACTCTCTATTTCCTGACATTCCTTGATATACAGTCCTATAAGGTATATGTCTTTGGGGAGTGCATGCTCTCTTCATCATCATGTTTTTTTAGCATAGCTTGTTCCTCTAAGCATTTATATATATGTGTCGACTGAAAATATATGCTCATGTTTTTTACTGTGTACAAACAGGTTATGGTTGTGTTCATGCATAACGTAATGTTTGTGTGTGTGTGTGTGAGAGAGAGAGAGCTCCAGGCTGATTTATATCATTAGGGTTTTCTCTGATCCTTGGTGGGATTATTTTTGTTTCTGTATTTCGGCTAAACTGGATTGCTATTTCACAAATGTTTTAAAACAATTGATAACGTGTAACAGCTGGCATCATCAACATCCATACATATGGATCAACAGTTTGTGGTGATATGCAAAAAAAAAAAAAAAAAAAAAACTTTCATGAAGTGGAACATCTAAAGCTGAAAATCGTAAACCAAAAGTCAAAAGATTCCACAAAATCAAAAGAATAAAATGTGACCTTGGGCCCATTGAGCCCACGGGGGATATGACTTGTGGAGGAAAATGGGCCAGAAAGGCCAATCTTATTTGTCAGCAAGACGCTATTATTTGGGCCTCTATGAAGCCTTTCTGCGGTAGGCCCCTAATTAATTTAATAATCATCATTCAAATCCAAATCCAGTCCACCTAAAGTTAATTATTTATTATGTCAAAAACGATGTCTTTTGTCCTACTTGGAAGCTTTGTTTAATAATGTTGTTGGCTTTTTCCTATAAAGTTTGCTCGAGTTTGATGATTAAAATAAAATAACATAATATCCACTAATATGCCGCCACGTGGATGATGATGGTAAGTATCAGGTACAGAGCCCCTCCACCTTTGTTGACTTCTCTATTTTTCTCCCACCGGGAAGAATGGCTGAACCCGGCGAACCTTGTGATGCCTCGCAGGCGTGTTCTTTTCCCGGCGATTATTCCGACTCCAGAGTACCGCTCCAGCGTCTGGAGACGGTCCGGATGCGGATGGATTCGTTGCAGAGCTTCCTTGCGGAATCCGTCAACGGCAGCGTCATCCTCGGTAAGGATCAGATGGACACGATCTCGTCAGAGATTGCGTCGGCGTTAGAACAGGTCATCTTCGACGGCGCTGCTCTTCTATCTTGTTTGCAGCAACCTTCACTACCGCCGGAATCTCCAGCGAAGCCGTCTGGACGGGATCCGGATCATGTGCTCCGGATTCCGAACCCTAGCGAGAAAAGGGGCCACAAAAAACTGGATGACTGCGACGTGATTGAGCTCGACGCGGTGGAGATTCTGGCGGAGCACGTCCACTTCTGTGAGATTTGCGGGAAAGGATTCAAGCGCGATGCGAATCTGCGGATGCATATGCGCGCTCACGGTGACCAGTACAAAACCACGGAGGCGTTGTTGAAGCCGGCGGAAGCGCCGCCACGCGATTTGACCGCCGGTCACCGGAAGATTCTGTTCTCCTGTCCGCACGAAGGCTGCAACAGGAACCGGAGACACAAGCGGTTCCGGCCACTGAAATCAGTGGTTTGTGTGAGGAATCATTTCAAGAGAAGCCACTGTCCGAAGCTCTTCTCGTGCCACCGTTGCCTGAAGAAGAGCTTCTCCGTCCTCGCAGATCTGAAAACCCACCAGAAACACTGCGGCGAGTCAACGGCCATTTCAACCTCCGCCGCCGTCGTCGCCGCCGCGCCCACCGCGCGATGGCGGTGCTCGTGCGGGACGAGCTTCACGAGGAAGGACAAGCTGTTCGGACACGTGGCGAACTTTGAAGGACATATGCCGGCCGTTACGGCTTTGTCGATAGCCACCGACACGGCGAATGCAGAGGAAGGGACCGCCCGGTCGGGTCGTAGAGACGAGGCGTTTTCCGATGAATTGCTCGATGGATTTTATCCGATGCAAGGCTTTAGCTTTGAAGATATTCTGCAATCTCCTGTCGGCTTCTCATGTAAAGGTGATCATGAATCTGAGATTTTTACGTATCTCTAACGATCCCAATATAGGGTTTGATTCAGAATTCTATGCTCATCATGTCTTTCGGGTCAAAAGATTTCTTTTTTCCGTGGCGATTGCTGTTGATTGTTTTGCAAGTCTGGCTCTTCCACCTTGTACAGTTGGTCAATTTCCCATGTAATGATATTTACGATTAGGGATCAAAATCGAAATTTTGGCAAATATATCGACCTTGAATTTCCCAGAAATGAAGCTAAAAAGGATACATTTTGATTGTTCATTTCATGGCCCATCAAAAACACCAGAAACCCATGAAACACATCATCATAAACTTGCAAGAAGATCTCGTTCTGAAACTAAAGCAACTTGAAAGATGCCGACTTTATAATGTTATCTTCCGCCGGATAATTCAATGGCGTCTTGGTTATAGAGAGAATCTTCGGCCAAATCGAGTCGCATCTGCAAACCTTCGGATTCTTGTTGTCGGGTCACTTCCACGTTCTGCCATTCTTCCCATCTCTCAGCAAGCCCTTCTCCTTCTAACATCCGTACAACTTCCGACATGACTGGTCGGTCTTCTGGCGAAGCTTGTGTGCAAAGCAGAGCAACTCGGATCACCATCCCCACTTCTTCATCGCTGTAGCTCCGGCCCAGGTTGTCGTCTACAATGTCCCCAAGCCTCTTCTCTCGTTCCAGTTTCTTCACCTGTTTGAGAAGAACAATACCCACCAAAAGGAACAAAGGGATGAGTCAAGCGGTAGAAGCTGAGAAAGATGACGGGAAAAACGATTAAAAAAAAACATACGTGATCGAGCAGGATGACATCATCTTCTTCCTCCAACCGTGAAAAATCGATAGCCCGTTGTCCTGTTACAAGCTCCAGAAGGAAAATCCCGTACCCGAAAACATCCGTTTTATCCGAGGATTTCCCGGTGGATAGATATTCAGGTGCAATGTGACCCATTGTTCCACGAACCTGAGTGGTCACATTAGTACTTGAAACGTCCACCAATTTGGCTAAACCAAAGTCACCAACAACTGCTTCGAAATCTTCATCAAGTAACACATTTGCTGCCTTCACATCGCGATGTATGATCTTCGGGTTGCAGTGCTCGTGAAGATATTCAAGCCCCCGTGCTGCCCCTAACGCTATCCGTCTCCTCGTTGGCCAATCCAGAATAGAATCTCCAGGTTTAATCTCTGCACACCAAAACGGAGGAACACTGTCCAGATAAGATCTTTTCTGTGCAAAAACCGACAAATGGAAATGATGATACTAGTCTTGTGTTACCGTCTTCAAGTAAATATGCAACCTTTCCATATGAAAACAATGGTTAAATCTTGATTTTAACCATTAGAGACATGAAACATAGCAACATAAGTCCTGTGTTTTGTAATGACCAAAACCCTAATCGTAACCGAGCAGAAGAGCTCCGTTACTACCTCTGAGACGGGAGGCAACACTAAGATTCTGCATGAAAGGATAAACCAAAAGGCGTTCGGTGGGAGTAGTGCAAAAGCCAATAAGCCGCAGTAGATTCCTATGGACAGCTACACTTATCATCTCAACCTCTCGTTGGAAAGCAGCATCTCCACTCGGACTTCGGAAATCAGTCGACCTTTTCACAGCAACTTTCGCGTTATCTAAAAGCACCCCTTTGTAAACCTTTCCAAAGCCTCCTTTTCCAAGAATGTTCTTTTCGCTGAAGTTATCTGTAGCCAATTGAAGCTCCCTCCACGCGAATCTTTTCAACTGGCCGAAAGATATTCTTCCATCTTCACCTGAAACACAAAAGGTTCAACACTCATGGAATAAAGTTTTGAACTTTCTATGTTTCTCCAAATAGTATTGCAGTTCACAATTGTGCGTCTGAATTTATCACTGAAGCACTGGAAAATTGCTATGGAAAGTGCCCTTTATTCGGAAAGATATACCAGACCTGCAACATCGACAAACACATCATACTTGTATCTCTGATGCCTATATTTGCAGAAGAAATACAACGAGAATCCAAGGAGAAGAACCACAACAGCACTAACAACTGCAACAATAATCTCGAGTTTTGGCTTGTTTGAACCACCTATCATGCAACAGCAAAGAAAAAATAATTCCACACGATGTAATCGAGCAAAGAAAGAAAACAAGGCCAAGATACAAAAGGAAAGTAAATTCAGCAAACAGTTAAAATTACCTGAACCATTACCATCAGACACACATGGGCGACGATAAGTATCACCACAATTCAAGTTGTTTCCTGAGAAACTAAAATCAGGAAGACTGTGTATCAGAGTAGAGAGCAATGAATGGAAAAAAGTCAAATGGGTACACTTCAAATTGTTGTTTAGTTTGAACATAAAATAGTGTTGCCTACTTGTATTTTGGGATTCCAAATAATCTCTCAGGAATCTGACCAGTGAGATTGTTTGAATCCAGCAGACTGCATAACGACAATGGGACTAAGACATTGAGGATGTTCCCCGAAAAGGGTAGAGCAGATGCACACAGAAAACCACTTACAGACAAATCAGTTTCGGGAGCTTTGTGAGAGATTCAGGGACACTCCCATTTAGGCTGTTACCACTCAAGGTCCTGGTTGGTAAAAGACAGGAACAGAGACATGATCTCGTAATCTCAAATGTCTAAGACAAGGGCCAGATTATTAGTTGTGTTGGGATAACATTACTTACAAGAACTGAAGATTCTTGAGATTACCAAGAATGGATGGTATTGGACCGGTTAACCGATTGTCATCCAACTCCAAGGAGCTCAATCTGGACAAATTTCCAAACTCGTTTGGTATCCCACCAGTAATGTCATTTCCTTTCAACGTACTGTGTACCAAAAGGATTGTCGGGCATCATTCAGAACATCCATCCACAAAAACAAGTGCCATTTCTAAAGGCAGATAAGATATCTCTGGACAACTCTTGCACTTACAGGGTCTTGAGGTGAGTTAGGATTCCTATTGCTGGAGACAAGGTCCCTGAAAAGTTCATGTATGACAATGTCCTGCAATTACTTAACGAGCGCAGGTCAATTCTTCTCTCCACCAATAACTAGCTAAGAAAAAAAAAACTTAGCTTGGGATGACCACAAGTTCAAGCATCATCCAACTTACACAGAAGTAACAAAGCTATTTTCATCACAAATAACTTGGGACCAGGTGCAAGGACTGATTAGATACCGGTTCCAGTCCTCCAGCTGATTAGACTTTGCACGTAACGAGATCTTCAACGCAATTAGCGCTTGTCCTGAAACGGGAAACAAGAGAGCTTATACTACAATTAGGCCAAACCCTAATCGAATCATCACACCTTTTATCTGAACAGCTGAAAGGAATGAGAAATATCAGGGATATTGAAAGAGAATGTGGCAGGAAAATGGCGATACCTTGCGCTTCAGGCAACACAAATGACCATAAACAGGCAAACACCAACACAGCCAGAGCCAGAGCCAGAGCCATCTTCTGCTGGTTACTATCTAAGGCGACGAAAGTGAAGTATGGTTTCTATTGAATGCCAGAATCTGTTCCATCTGACAAAAAGAAAAGGAAATGGATTAACTGAAATCTATCGTCAAGCACGGAGAATTAACGTATGAAACTTGATCATCAGTTCATTACACAAATGATTTACGAATCTTAAGAACTTCAAACACATATAAATTGAGCGCAAGACCGGAATTCATCATTGAAACGTAGAAAGGAAAACAAACTGGGAGTTCAGGCAAAGCGAAAAACAAAAACCTTTTCGGTTGCCCAGAAGATCATTGCACGATTTTCTCATAAACGAACAGAACCCACTGCTCAAACCGCGTAAATATCCATCACCCAACAAGGAAAAAACAGATTTACGAGCAAAATCATAACCCAGAAAGAGAAACGAACGAACAGACAAACCCGAGATCGGAGAGGGAAAAAAAAACCCCAAGAAGCGAAAAGTAGAATTATGTTCCACTTGCGGCTGAAATCTCGAAGAGAGAGTTCTTGGCCGTCGTTTTCCTATAGAATTTTCTTCTTTCGTTTTCCCTGTAGACGAAAGTCTCCGCAATGATCACAGTGGCTCTCAGCCTCGAGTCAAAGGTGAGAAGGCCGGCATTTGTTACGAGAAATGCTTTTACGGTGCAGCGCTTGTAATTAAGAAATTAATCACTACTGATGATGATGATTACTGCAACATTATGTTATTCATTAGAGAAGATGGTGCATGATTTTCTTTACTCGAGACGATTTATTATCATAATTCAAGCTCTTTACATTAGATCCAGACCACGGGAATGAACCCAAGAATCACAGAATTAAATAGGGATATAAAAACATAGTTTTTGTAAACAAGGCAACGCCAATCTCTCAAATTCTTTACTAAACAAGGAGTGAGAGTCTTCAAATGTGGTCGGATTGAGGCTCATCAATATGAATATCTCATCTTATTTATTGACATTGATTAAACGAGGAAACAAATTTTGAGAGAGAGAGGAGGGGAATAAAATATTTTAAAAAATTAAAAAAAAAGTAATTGGGGTGAGAGAGGCTCGAACTCTCGACCTCAGGATCACTCAGTAGCTATGAGACCTACGCGCTAGCCAACTGCGCCACCACCCCATTTGTGATCTGTTATAAAGTATTTAAAAATAATTATTATCTGTTAAAGTTTACCAAAAATCATACGTTACCTATTGGTCCCCGTCTCTTCCGA